TTTAGTAATTGAAGAAAATGGAATTCGTTTGAGGCTAAATATCGTTGATACCCCCGGATATGGCGATCAAGTCAACAATGAAAATTGGTTCGTTAATTTATCTCTTTCATAAACCTTATCTAAAAAAAAATTTTTATCCAACCTAACTTTATATATATTCTATCTTATAGTTGGGAACCAATTATTAAGTATATTAAAGACCAACATAGTGCTTATTTGCGTAAAGAGCTCACTGCTATGCGTGAAAGATATATCCAAGATACCAGAATTCACTGTTGTTTATTTTTCATTTCTCCGACTGGTCATGCGTATGTATTCACATATATTATATCTTTGTATTTTTTTATGTTAAAAGAAAGTAATTGAATTTTAATCTTTGTTATATTATTCTTGAATGTTAAAAGTCTTAAGCCCATTGATATTGTGGTGCTTAAAAAACTTTCGGAGGTGGTCAATGTCGTTCCTGTCATTGCCAAATCTGATTCTCTGACGATGGAAGAACGGGTTGCTTTTAAACGAAGAGTATGTATTTTTTTATTTTTATTTAAAAACTTTATAAATGATAATTTTTAACAATATAATCTTACTAGTTAATAACTTATGATTACTTTATAATTTAATTCGTTAAATTCATTAGATAAAGTCTGAATTGGGCTTTCATAATATCAAGTTATATCCTTATGACAGTGATGAACTTGACGATACTGAACGAAATCTCAATGATAGCATTAAGGTATCATTTTTTTTATATTGTTATAAAATTTTTTTTTATTAATATTCGGTTATATAAATCCTCTTGTATTACTTATGTTTTATAGCAAATTATTCCTTTTGCAATCGTTGGTTCGGAAAAAAATGTTGTTATTGACGGCAAGTCCGTTCGTGGTCGAAGAAACAGATGGGGTGTTATCAATGGTATGTTTGTTATTTGAATTTAATTTATATCAATTTCTATGAATTAATTTATATCAATTTCTATGAATTAATGTAATTAATGTATATAAATATTTTTATTTTTGTTTAGTGGAAAACGAACAACATTGTGAATTCGTTCATCTTAGAGATTTCCTTACACGGTATTTTTCATCTATTTAATTTGTGTTTCATTTTGATCGTTATTTAAAAAATAATTTTCTAATGATTTTGTTATTTTATGTCATCAAAAAGAACCCACCTTCAAGATCTTATTGAAACTACCGCTCAAATTCACTATGAGGCTTTCCGTTCTAAGCAGTTGTTGGCTCTAAAAGAATCTAGTAACAAACAACAACAGCAACAACAACAACAGCAGCAACAACAAGCACAGCCTGTACAGCAACAAGTGGGTCCTGGTGCTCCCGTTATTTAATTATAATAATATTTTTTTTACTAGGAATACAGAAAGGTAAACCCGGGTCTTATTGTTTCGAGGATTGTCATAGAACTGCCATCAAACTATTATGGTGTTTTGAACTGTTATATTATTATGGTAATTGAGTTCTAACGTCTTATTTTTTTAAGTCTGTTGGGTCTCAAATTTTATTTTTTATATTATCATTAAAAAAATAATAGTAATATATATTTTTTTTTATTCGTATCGCACATATGTAACTGCGATTTTTATTTTATTTTTATTTAGTAATTGAAGAAAATGGAATTCGTTTGAGGCTAAATATCGTTGATACCCCCGGATATGGCGATCAAGTCAACA